AAAATATATATATAAAGTACAAAAGACAAGCAAGGAGCTGGGCATGGCAGCCCGTAACCCCAGCCTCAGGATGCTAAGGCAGGCAGATTACTGTGAGTTCCAGACCATCCTGGGCTACACAGCAAGATCCTGTCTCCAAAAAAACACCCAAAACACAAAAGACAAGCAAGGCACAAGACCGGTACAGGAGGCAGTGGACAAGGGCTACTCTGAGCATGTCAGGTTCTATGTTTAACAAAGAACATACACATCTGAACATCAGACTTAAAATGATCTGCCTTATCTTTATTAGGGTCAGCTCCAAAATATCACAGAGACAGAATGGGAGGGAAACCTGCTGGAAGGGCCTGGCTGCAGCTCCATGGGCACTACCGCCCTCTTGTGGCAATGCAGGACCCGCAACATCCTGTGCTAGAGCACACACCAAAGCAGGGCCACAGCAGGGGAAAAGAACCCATGACCTACCTATGGGGTCAAGGAATCCCACCACTACGCAACTCCAGCAGGGAACTGCAGGCAGCTAGCAGCCAGCACTGCTCCCTGCTGCTCCTTCTTAGTGCTATCCCCACGGAGCTCACCAGAGCCTGCAGTGTCCCGTCTATGGCAATGACTCCATCGATGGTGTGGAAGGAGGAGCGGGCCAAGGTGCTGAGGCTCCAGTCCAGGAACCCGGCCATCTTCCTCTGCTTGACATCAGGGCGTGTGATAAACCTGTGAGGGAACAGGAGCACAGACATGGAAAAGACCCACTGCCCAGGGGCCCGGGCCCAGGCCCTTGGACATCCTCCCCATGTGCTGTACACACACATGGCCCCTGACCGGCTGCTGCTCACCTGGAGCCCCAGCTGCTGGCCTCCCCACCTGTCAGGCCATAGACCCCCTTCTCTCTGTAGTGGGCCTGCTGGTGACCAGCAGCCTGCACAGCTGCCCTCTTTTTTGCCCTGCATCTTTGGCCTCAGGACACACAGCCCCAGCAGCCTGCTTACCTCTCACCACCATTGGTCATCACCCCTCATCACCTGCCCAGCCCTCCCCACCCTGAACCTCACACCAATACACAGCCACCCTGCTGACTGGGTGCAGAGTGCACCCCCAGCCCCAGCCCCGAGCAGCACAGCCAGCTCTCAGGCGGAGTGGCTGGGGCCTGGCCCTTCACTCCCGGGGCTTCATCCCCCCAGGGAAAGAGCAAGCCACAGATACAAGAGACATTAAGAAGGGTCAGAGAGCAAGCAGGCAGGGGAAGGAAGGGGCTGCCTCCAAGAGAGGGCACAGAGACAACCTCCAAGGGGACCTGTGACAGGCAAGCTGAGTGAGGGAGACTGAGTCAGAGCTGGCGCTGCCAAGCCACAACCTCTCTCAACCTGCCCAGGCCATCCCTAGTCACTCTGTACTCCCTAGATAGCTCTATGTGTAGCCCATCAGCTGGCTTCAGTAGGGCCAGCTCCACTCGGGGTGAGCCACCTGCTCAGGGCACCATATACAATGACACAACCTGACACTCTGGGGCAGCATGGGTGCCCTGCTGGGGTGCATCTGACAGGACACTTGGGACAGACACAGCACCGGGCAAAAACCATGATCATACTCTCCCACTTCCTGTGAGCAGAGAGCAGCCCATTCCCTCATGCCACCACCCTAAAGGACACAACCGGGTGCTTGGCAGCCCCATTTCCAAACTTCTCACCCAGATTCCTGCTGGACCTGGCTGGACCCTGTGTTCATGCAACATGCAGGGACCAGTTGGTTCCTGGAGCAGACCTGTGCCACATAGGCTCTGATGTTCTCCCTGCTCCCCACAAGTTACCCCACACCTCAGATCCCTGAACAGTCCGCTCAGTCCAACTTCCAGTTCCCATGCTCTGCCAAGGGAACCTCTCAATGGACCTAAAAGGGGCTAGAGGCTTCACTGAACATGCACCCTCACTGAGGACCTGGAAACCTGTACACCATTTCCACCCCCACAGCATAACCAGTGTCAGCAGTCAAAGGCAACTCAGACTGCAGCCTGGCCCACATCTGCCTGACCCTGGGACCTGGGACAGACACCCAGGCACTCTCCACAAGTACCACATTGAAGGAGTCCACAGATGGGCTCCATGCCAGAGGCTGAACCTAGACCCAGACCCAGACCCAGACCCACGTGTAGCAGTAAGTCAACCACATGCACCCCAGGCCTGCACCATGCCTCCGACTTCCTCCAGGAAACTTTCAGGGTGCAGCTCCAACACCACCCCTTTTACCAAGCCTCACTTTACCAACTCCCCTCCCTACTCAGCTCCGGCCCCACCTGTTAGGAGGCTGAAGCTAGAAAGTATTTACCAGTGCAGGACACAGGACAAAGCCAGCCCAAACACAGGAGCTCCTCGAAGCATGTAAATAAGCTTTTGCAGCTTGTTAACTGTAAAGAGGTTAAAATTGACATCAACCTCTCCAGGGTATAAATAAACACTCTACAGTTCTTAGGTAGGTTCCTCTCCTCCACTCAAAAGAGACAGAACCTCCACCTCACCCAGCTATTGTCTCTTTGTCTGTCCTTTCCTCCTTCCCACCACCATTCCTTCCTGGGGCACACTGAGCAACCATCAGACCCCTATATTCGCCCACAGACCCGACCTTGCCCTGCACCCCAGGCCCCCTCCACAAACCTCTGCCCTGAACTGGCCTCCATTCTGTACCAGCCTTATGCATGGCCATGATGCCCCAGAACCTGCCCCCACCCCAGGAATTGGGGTTCCCTGGGGCCCTGGGCCCAGTCTTCCTCTACAGAGAAGAGACCACGTGTGCTCATCTGACTTAACCCTAGTCCAGAGTAAAATCACACAAGTGATTTCCAAGTGAGATACCAACCTAAAGCTGCTCTGCAGCAATTAGGGCAATGCTATTTTTCTCAATTAAAAAAGGAGAGGAAAAAAAAAAAAAAAAAAAGGAGAGAACCTATACTGTAACATCATGTAACTCAGTGGTGTCCCAAATTTTCTGATCAAGGAGATTATGGAGCCACAGAGGAATGCAATCGATGATGTATAGTGTGCCCAAGGAGAGTCACATGGAGAGAAAACATTCTCTCAGGCTTTCACAGAGAGCAAATTGGTCAAGCAATGGCCATGACTCATCCACATGGACGACACTGACAAAGGATCTACAAAGTGCGGTACAGGGTTACGGGATAAATCCTAAGGTACTTGACTGACCTTATCAGATACAAAAGTTACATTTCTTGTTATACAGGTCTTGCTTTATCTTGGTCTTAACCATCCAGCAAAAAGGCAGAAAAACAAGGTATATAAAGTAAAGCCATATTAATATGCTGATCTGTGAAAGGCTCAAGTCAACAACTTCTGTGGATAACTCACTACTATTGTAGACTGCTAGACTGTGTTGGATTGTTTTGCTGACTTCATGTACCTATAGTATTTAGATGCCAATGGAATACCCATCTCTGACAGGACTAAACAAAAAAAAGAGATATAAAGGAAGGACCATTTTGTATTTGTATACAAATAGATATACAGCTACTTTCGCTTAATTCAATGAGAAGAAAGATTTGTCCTAATAGTGTTTGGACAGGATATCCTGTCTGCTTCTTGTACTATGGATGACCACTAAGAAGATAACAATATATAATGTATTACTTATTTTTTTAAGGGTTTTTTTTTAATTTTTATTTACTTATTTATTTATTTATTTTGTGTGTGGCCAGTTCAGCCCACCAGGGGGCGGGGCAGGCTGGCATGTGGTGCTGGGGGATTAAACCGCAGTCCCTGTGTTTTTACTTAGCTTAGCTTGTTCTAAGTAGGTGCTTTAGACCACTGAGCCATCTCACCAGCCCGCGGTATTAATTATTGATACTGTTCTATTAATCAGTTTTGAAACTGTCTCGTTGTTTCTCAACAAAATAAAAAAAATTTTTAAATACTCAATTAAAAAAGGAACAGAAGTCCGAAAATACAAACAAGCAAAATGGACACATTCAGAAAGATGCACGGACAGGAACATGCACACTAAGGTTCCTGTGAGTCCTGGGCTGCCTCCTGTTCATGAGAACTCACATCCCAGGGCAGGCCAAATGCTCAGCGGATTAAAGCACCTGAAAGCAGGCACAGGGGCCAGGGATTCGATCCCAGGCCCTGCTCCCCTGGCCCTGCTCTCCTGGCCCCACCCCCGGGGCACATACCTATAATCCCAGCTCTTGGGAGGCTGTAAACAGGTGGATCACTATGAATCTGATCTAGTAGTGAGACCCTGAACACCCTGTAGACCCTTCCCTAAAAATACAAAAAAAAAAAAAAAAAAAAAAGAACCCACATCCCAGCCACACCACAGGAAACACAGAGCCCACATGCCCAGGTGTCTGGGGAAGCTGCTCCTGCAGTCATAAACATGAGCTCTATGCGTGCTAAGAAGCAGCTTTCAATGACAGGAGACCCTGAAGGGAACAACCTCCCAGAGAGACCTGAGGCTGTGCAATACTGGAAAGGATTTCCTAGAAAACAGGCCATGGCTTGGCCCCCAGTCACACCTCTCCCTGTGCTGTGACCAGGCACAGTACTCTGCTCAGCACCAGCAGCACAGGTCCAGGCAGCATTATGAGCTGTGTTCCAGAGAGTATGGCACACTGATATTAATACATTTGGGCTGGGAGACAACTCAGAGGCATAAGCGCCTGCCTGGCAAACACAAGGTCCTGAACTCGATCCCCGGTACCAAACCCAAAAATGTTCACAATATGGTGCTAAAGCTGAGTGTGGCTGCACGCACCTGTCACCCCAGCACTTAGAAGGCTGAGGCAAGAGGATCAGCATGAGTTCAAGGCCAGCCTGCACTACATAGTGAGACCCTGTCTCAAAAAAACACAAAGAAAGAAAAAGCCCTCATGTATCCTAAACCAAAGGCAATTCTAAGGAAAATTATTGTGTGTTAAAACATTAAAGCATGGGGGGAAGGTGACTATTTGTTAAATCTCTTCAAAGCTGATGACTTCTGAGCTTAAAAGTAAAAAGCGGGGGGGGGGGGAACTACCCGCCCGGAGCCCCCCCCCCTGTCCCTCTCTCGGGAGAGGAGCTTTCTTTTTCTCAATAAATACATTCTGCTCAAAAAAAAAAAAAAGGTAAAAAGCAAATTAATAAAAGAAAAATGAACTGCTTTAACTTAAAACTTTTAGTCCAAAACCTACAAATAAAATGCCCCTGGGAACCGCACGATGGTGAAGAGATGGCTCTGAGGCCCTGGACCAGGAGTCGCAGCACAGGGGCCCGTGATACCCAAAGCAGAAGACAGCGCAGAAATCGCGCCCGTGAGATCCTGGACCAAACCAGGCATGCTCTGTCCCGTGGGGCAGGGCCAGGCACCATACGACACACAGGACGCATGAGCCACTCAATCAGCAGCCACTTGAGCCAACGGAAAAGCAGGGTTCCACTTTCTAATACCACATGTTCCTGTCCAGTTCAATAGCAGCATAGAAAGAGGAAAAAGGACAGTACATGCATGTGTTCTAACTGCAAGTGCTGAGTGTTCTCTTAGGGTTTCCTGTTCTGACAACACCACCTTTTGTAGATGGAGCACACTAGTGGGGCATGCCTGCAATCCCAGCACTCAGGAGACTGAGGCAGGAGGATTGCCATAAGCTTGAGGCCAGCCCAGGCTACATACTGAGTTCAAGGCCAGCCAAAACTAAATAATGAGACCTCGTCTCAAAATAAAGAGGCTAT